CCGTCCTTCATTACACACACTGCTAATTTCACTTCTGGTCCCTATAGGCTGAGGACTTTTAAAGTTTTAAAATGAAACTGGTAACACTTAAAAATATTTTCAGGTGCTTAAGATCTTGGGGTTAATATGGGCCCTTAACTTATTAAATAAATTTTAAAGAGGTAACAATCAATCATACCTTCTAAAAACAACTTAACAGCTTATAATTTACCCGAGTGCACTGCGGGGAGAGTACCCAACCAGGGCAGCTTTTACAGCGTGGTAAGATCTCTTACCAGTTTTTAACATCAAAGAGAAATTGAGTCTGTGTTTTGCATGCTGAATAGGAAGGTGACTGTAACTGGCGTTCTACATTATTTCCACAGCTGCCTATTTGTGTATTCGTAAGTAATCAAGACTGCATGGGTTTGAAAATCAGACTGTAATGGTTTTTAACAGGAAACTGTACATGTAAAAAATCAGAGTTTGACTGTTTATAACATTAATTTACTCCTATGCTTAAGTCAGTTCAGTTTTAAGACTTTGATTTCCCATTATACTTTTGCTGGATGATGGAACTATAAATAAATCAGATTAAATTCCTTGGTGATGTGACAAGGTGCTGAGAGTGGTCATGTAACAGCGCACAAAGACCAGATTGCAGGAATGAGAACAAAATTTAGAAGGGCTACTAAAACCAGCTTGTGGATTAATCGCTTATCCCATCTGGGACCATCCTGACATCCTTTAGCTGGGATTTGAAGTCCCTAGTGGCTGGGCATCTAGTTATAACTCATGCCTTGGAAAACACACCCACCTCCTCAATCCCTGTTGAAAATGTTTTAAAGGACTTAATTTCAAGTATAAAAGTGCAGAACATTAACAGCGAAAATCCACCTTTAATGGACAGAAGTTTAAATAGCATTGTCACATGAGAAAATCTCTGCCTCCAAAAGCCTGTAATTCTAGCAGATGAATCAGAAGTATGGTTACACACTCATATTAAGTCCTCCTTACACTAGGGAATATGGGACAGCACAAATTTCTGCCAGTTGGGACTAAATAGGAGCTAGAATCAGAAACGGGATCTCGAAAAGCTATTGCCATTGATTTACACAACTATTTGTCAGGTGGCAAGGGCAAGCAGCAGTGGGATTCCGGGATTCTATTTGCGGCTCAGTGAGTAGCCTGTCATCCAGTGCTGTGGTTTACAGCTTTGGAACGCTTCTTTTCGAATGACTTGGCAGCCTACAAAAGGGAACATCAGACTCGCTGCTGTTAGCAACGCCGGTCCTCTTCCCAGCACGCTCAGCAGTAAGGATACAAAGCACACACCCACCAGCAGCTAGCAGAGGAGGTCAGCGTTGTGCGGGATGTCCCGAAGCAGCGCGAGGCCAGGAAGGGGGCCAGCCTCCCTGCCCCTGAGAGGATTCTGTCACCACGATCTCGACCTCGCTCTCTCACACACACCGGCGAGCCAAGGGACGCTCCAGCAGGCCCCATGATTCGAGCGTGTTCCAGGGTGGCTGAAAACAGGGGAGCGGCCACGGCACCTCCCTCACAGCAGGCCCAGGCCTCTTTCTCCGCCTCCTCTTCCTCCCCGCCACCGCCCGCGAGCCTCCCCTCCATCGATAGCTCTGCGCTTGGCAGCGCGCGCGTCTTAGCTGGGCCTGGCCTCACCCTCCAGTCCCGGATGAGCCCTCCTTGTCCCCACCCTTCCCGCCCATCGATATCTCGGCGCTCGCCCCGCCCTCCGCCGGGGTCTATCGCGCCCGGGCAGGCGGGACGTT